ATTATGACAGCATACCCATCATTATGACAGCATACCCATCATTATGACAGCATACCCATCATTATGATAGCATACCTATTACAGTTATTAACGGTCGTCGGCTGCGCAGCAGCTGAGTCCAGTTGGGCTTCAGGTGTGTCGCTGGCAGTGATCCATCTGAAGCTTGACTGAACTTGAACTCTTTCAAACGGCCGGTCCACGTGCAGTCAGACGTGCGCGGCTGCTCATCCAGCACATTAATTGTGGCCCAGCTCTAAATCCTGTCACACGCTGAGCAGCAGAGGGTCAAACCCTCAAACCTTAAAGACAAAGTAATTCTCAGACAGACGTGTGTCTGAGGCTGCAGGTAACTCACCTGTTGTTGTTTGTTTGTTTGTTTGTTTGTTTGTTTTAGTGGCACGTCCAGGCCACCTGTGCCACCCAGGGTACCGGTCTGTACGAGGGTCTGGACTGGCTGTCCAACGAGTTGTCGAAGCGTTAGACCACCTGACAGGAAGCTGGTGTCAGTGTCCAAACTGAGGAGGGGGCGGAGCTTATCACAAGACTGTTTCTGTTTTGTTTTTTTTGTTTTTTATAAATTATAAACTTGTCTGCAGCAGGAAGTGATGTCATGGACTCTGAGCTCACCTGGTTTCCCATCATCCTCCTCTTCTGGTCTTCTGCAGGTGTTGATCTATTCTTTTTAATCCGCATGTTTTAACTCCAGATCATGTGACAGGACGTTGTAGGGAGGGGGGTGAAAGGGCGGGGCTTATGACAGGTGGGTGCGGTTACCTGGTCATGTGATGACTCATTCCACAGAGCCGGACCTGACGGCCTCTCATTCCTTATTAATGTGAAGAAGAAGACGACCGTGATGCAATAAAGGTTTTTTTCTTCTCACGTTTGGACTTTTATTGTTTCTGTTCAGGATGTTCAGACACTTTATTTACAGACAGCGTAAACAAAAACAAGCTCCGCCCCCTCTACACGTTGACCGGTTGGTGCTGGTGGTTCTGGCGTTTCACCACGAACACCTTCTGACCCGAGATGGTCGCCACGTAAACGAAGTCGTCCAGGATCACTGCGGAGAAACGCACGGGTCAGCTGGTTCTGGACGGAGGACGTCTGCGTCAGAACTAACGCTGAAGATGAAGTTCGTGACGTGAAAAGCAACAACAAGCTGAACGCTCAAATCTGCTCAGAGATAAAAGTAGCTAAAATGAGCAAAATGGCTAAAGTTTAAAACAGTGAAGAAAATCTCATTTCAGTAAAAGTTATTTTTTGTTCAAGTTTTAAGTCCTGAATGAGCCGAACGGTAAAAGTGGCTGAATGTCAGCTGAAGAACCTCCAAACAGGAAAACATGCAGGCAACAACTGGTTCATGTTCTTGATTCAAACTGATTTTTGGATCGGAACCCGCCGGAACCAAAGCTCCGGCAGGTGTATGGTTACCTGACATGCGCTTGAAGGGGGTGTATGGTTACCTGACATGCGCTTGAAGGGGGTGTATGGTTACCTGACATGCGCTTGAAGGGGGCGTCGGCCGATCCTGACGACCTGAAGCGACAGGCGGTCCGAACCATCTGCATGATGACTCCGGCTGTGTGCTCGTCGTTCTCCAGCTCACCTGCAGACTGAACGGGACCGGTTCTGTCAGAGTTCCAGTCTAGAACCGTCAGTGTACGGAGAGCCATTAGTGCCATCATGGGGCCCAGAAAGTCACGGTTCAACTCCCAGCCATTCCCCCATGTCCTGGTGTCTCTGAGCAGGACACCCAATCCCTAATTGCTCCCCGGCACTCACATAGCTGCCCACTGCTCCACCTGGGTGAATCTCAGGTGTGATGGGTTAAATGCAGAGAACTCATGTCATCACTGTGTGGGAACAAACGGTGATGACATTATTAATTTAACGTTTCATTTCCTCATTAAATGTAAACTTTATTTGGAGGAGGCGTTTAAACGGCCTCCGTGTGAGGGCGACTCTCAGATACTACCATGCTGAACTTTAATGTCTCAGATGCTGATTGAATCAAAGCTGCTGGTGGCGGCCATTTTGAATCAGGTTCATTATTTTAAAAAGTTTAATTAAAAAACGCAGTTAATGTGTTTTTAAAGGATTTACTGATCCCAGCTGAAGATCAGGTTTCCTCTGCAGGGAAACGTGCAGCTGAACATTAGATCAAACATTTACTTTTTAAAACTTTAAACTATTGTCTGTGGACGCGCAGGGGTGAATTTTGGCCCTTATCTCTCTCCGTACAACAGTTTCACTGCCTGAACACGGTTCGGTCCAGAAATGATCAGAACCTCGGTGTGTTTTTAACACTCACGGCCAGAACTCCGTCCTCACTGATCACCAGGTACCCGAGCTGGTCCGGGATCCGGTCCAGACCCGCCGTCAGCGCCGCCGTCGTCTGAAACACAAACCAGGAGCCCCTGAAGCTAACACGCGTCTGGAAACTCCGAGCTTCCGTGAACGTCCCTCGTTAAATAAACATTAAAACTTAAGAGAACTTTGAAAACTCACCATTTTGTTTTCTGCCGCTGCTGTTTCCACAAACTGCAGCTTACTTCCGGGTTTTTCTGTCCGCGTGACTCACCACGTGACCGCGATGACGCAACAGCTCATATGACCGATTGATCCGGACCGAACCGAGCAGCTCCGGGATGGCGGGCCGAGGAAAACTGATCGCTGTCATCGGCGACGAGGACACCTGCACGGGCTTCCTGCTCGGCGGGATCGGAGAGCTGAACAAGAACCGGAAGCCGAACTTCTTGGTGGTGGAGAAGGACACGAGCATCACGGAGATCGAGGAGACGTTCAAGTAAGGCCGAGCGCCCGCAGACACACCAGACTCCGTTCAAAAATCACCTGTTTTAACAATCCACTGACACTAAGGTTGATCCTCGGACAAACGGTCAAAATCTGAAGTAATCTGTGTGGTTCGTTTGGGTCCGGCAGTTCTTCTGTCACTTAACCAGACTTCGTGCAAAAATCTTCTGTTTTAAGCGTTGACGCGTTCGAGTAATCTCCTGCTTATTCGAGGTAAATTAACAAAAACCTGAATGGAGTCTGGTGTGGTTTGTTTGAGCCCGTTAGGCCCCTGTGCACGAACCAGACTCCGTTCAAAATTCATTTGATTAAGCTTCACTGCGTTAACAGTTTAATGAAATCCTGAGGGTTTGTTCCTTCTGTGACCGAACCAGACTCCGTTCATTATTTTCGTGTTTTTAGATGCTCATGGAGTCCAGAAGCTGATAAAAGTTTTCCACCCAAGCTATAATTAGTTTTTATTAAATCTATAGTTAAAGTGATGTTTAATCAGCTGAGAAAAATAATCTGAATATATTTTTAAGAAACAACAGTTGTCATTTTATACGTTTAATGAATTTATTAAATCCAAACTCCTCAGGTTTTCATAAATAAACATTATCTTTGGAATAAACCAAAAGTGTAAATGGCAAAAATGAAATTGTTGAAGAAGAAGTTTGTTTGGAGCTGAAGGTCTCGCTCTCTGCAGGAGCTTCTTGGCTCGGAGTGACATCGCCATCATCCTGATCAATCAGTTCATCGCTGAGATGATTCGCCACGCCATCGACGCCCACATGCAGTCCATCCCCGCCGTCCTGGAGATCCCGTCCAAGGAGCACCCGTACGACGCGTCCAAGGACTCCATCCTGCGCCGCGCCAAGGGCATGTTCTCAGCCGAAGACTTCCGATGAGCAGCCGAAGATCTCGTGTGTTGACGTGTTGCTCCAGTCACTCGATGTTTTCCAGGAAGTCAATGTTCAGCTGTCACCTTTTAGGCTCCGCCCCCTCAGCTCTTCTGCCCTGTCAGTGTTTGTTCCTTGTGTCTTAAATTATAAAAAGTTGTTTAATGAAATAAAAATGTTGTGAAATTCAGTTTTGCTTCGGTTTGTATTTGTGCGTGCGTCCCGGACTTGATGTTTCAGGACCCACAGTGGGGCCTGGACCCTCACTTTGGGGACCATCGGTTTAGCTGCTGATCTGAGGTGAAGCTGAAGAGTTTGGAGGCAGTCCTCCTCTTGGTGCTCCCACCACCGTGCCGGGCGTTCAGCGCTGGAAGCCTCGTGTTGTCTCCTTCAAACAAGCGTTCTGTCTCCAGAAGACATTTGTATCGTCCATGTGGGCAGCTGCTTCAGGGTGTGGCTGTCGGAGGCGGAGCTTCTTCCTTGGACACCTGAACCCAGTTTGTGTTTGATGTTAAATGAGCAGGAGGAGGTTCTGGTCCAACCATCAGTCATCGGCAGACCTTCGGCTGACGTTCGGCTGACCATCAGCCGAGGACAGAAAACACTGATTCTGATCTGTCAACAGACCTGGGATCAGATGGGGCTATAAAAGCCTCCAGTGAGTCTGAGCTCCATCAGAAGGTGAAGTCTTCCCACCATGACGACGATGATGATAATAATGATGATGGTGGCCTGCGTCTCTGCCGGGCCCCTCTCTGCTCCAACTCAGACCTCCAGGTGAGTTTGGACCTCCAGGTGTGAAGGTGGGTGGTTCTGAGGACTTCATGTTGGTTTCCTGTGTGCAGACCTGGCGAGCCGAATCCAACGAGTCCCGACCCGATGAAGAGCGAGGAGACCAACTCCACCTGGTGAGCACAGACTGCAGGTTTACTTGTGGTTCCTAGAGTTTCCAGCAGCAGAATGTGAGGAAGATCTTCCAGTTCTCAGGCTCCTCTCTTGTGGAACCAACTTCCAGTTTCTGTCCATGAGGCTGACACATTGTCCAGTTTAAGACTGGGATTAAGACTTTCCTTTTTGATAAATCCTATAGTTAGGGTTGGCTTGTTATGCTGCTATAGACTTAGACTACTAGAGGACAAATTGACCTCATGTCCTTAAATGAATTGTTAAAACTGAATAGTTTCATTTGATACTATTTCTATCTTAACATGTGATTCTTGACCTGCCATTGTGTATCTATTCCTACCAAACCCAGCCGGTTGAAGCAGATGGTCCTCTTGTCCTGATCCTGGTTCTGCTAAAGGTTTCTTCCTCATGAGGGAGTTTTTCTTTCCACTGTCGCCTTCATGCTTGTTCAACATGAGAGTTCAGTGATGGAGTTAAACTCAAAGCTGCTCCTCAGATAAATAATGTTCAATTATTATTTTATACATGAATGTTTCTGTTCAATTATTATTTTATACATGAATGTTTCTGTTCAATTATTATTTTATATTTGAATGTTTCTGTTAAATTATTATTTTATAGATGAATGTTTCTGTTCAATTATTATTTTATACATGAATGTTTCTGTTCAATTATTATTTTATAGATGAAGGTTTCTGTTCAATTATTATTTTATAGATGAAGGTTTCTGTTCAGTGCCTGCGGTGATTCTGTTGTGACTTGGAGCTAAAGAAATAAACTGAATTGAAGTGAATTGAATTATTTGTTCCAAATGTTCTGAAACATGTGACCCGGTTTGGAGGTTCTGAATGGACAAGGTGAATTGTCTGTCCTCAGATCAGTGTCGCGACTTTCTTTGTGTTTCTGTGTCTTAGGCTGGAGTTTTCCCGAACCCTGGACCTGGACCAGAACCAGAACCACACGCTGGAATCCAGGTTGGTTCTACTCTGAAGGTTCTGTAGACCTTCAGGTCACCTGAGTGCAGGTGGACGAGTCTCTGCACTAGTTCACTCACAGACTGTGGGTGCAGAACTTTACACACCTGTTAGTCTCTGGTTCTGATCCAGACGAGAATCTGTTCCTTATCCTCAGAGCTTCGGCTGTAAATGACGTCATACTTAAAGGGGGTGAAGACTCATCACTTTTCACTTTGATCTCAAAATAATTTATTCATTAATTTCAGTCATGAGGAGCAGAAACTTTCAGTTCCTGAAAGATTAAAGTTTTTCTGAATTTAAGAAAAATGTTATTAATTATATTAAAATGTTAACAGTAAATACACCTTTCTATCTGATCAAGATACTCAAAGCTCTTTACAACAAACAGCCTCAATTACCTCCACACACATTCATACATCACTCTACTAGACACACACATTCATACAGCACTCTACTAGACACACACATTCATACAGCACTCTACTAGACACACACA